CCCTCTTAGTATCCTGGCCAGCGCTCTCGAGAAGCTCTAGGAGTTCTCTCCGTACCTGCCTGTCTTGAGACGGGACACCCACCCTCAACACCGCCTTCTCGCTGCCGTCGAATTCCACCAAAATGACAGCAGTCCATTTGTTCTTGGCAATCTCCTGCATCAGCGCAGCTACAGCAGCAACGGGCACGGTTGTGCTACATTCATCGCCGGCTTTCTGCCCAAGGTCACTGGGCTCTCTTCTTGTGTCTGGTGTGTTCGGTGCCGTCCAGTCATCCTCGGATGTGTCGTCAGGCGTAGCGGGGTGTGTGTTGTCTTTTTCGTGTCAGCAGATGCCATTGACGATACGTACGTTACTGTACCGTAGAAGAACCTACAAGTATTGGCACGAGCCCTTTTCCTACTACGTTTCTGTCCCACGACTTCAACGGCCCTCTGTCTTTTCTCGAGCTCACTTTCATCGCGGAAAGACCACTCGAAGAGCTGTGTTGTCAAGTGGTCCAAAGGCGAAATGCCTGTATCGAGCGCGGAATCCATGTCGTGTGAAACAGTCAGTCAGACCGTGAGCGTGCTCCTGGAAATGATGAAGATGGTGTGCACTTGTGGCTCAACAAAGATGGCGGGCTCTATAATTTATACCTCTGCGCGGCTGGAGAACACTTGATTCCTAATCGTATTGGATGCTACCCGGGACGATGAGCTCCCTACTAAGCAATGTAACTTCTCCTTCCATCAGGGGTGTGATGTCAGGTCTATTGCTGGCAGCTATCTACCTTTTCACTGGCTTCGCCTACCAATCACCTCCCTCCCTGATACCATTTCTCTCATGTTGGCGTCCCGCCTCTCCCCTTACCATCTCATCCCACCATACTAACACCACCTTCGCATGACGCTCTTTCTTTCTGATCGGAAAACCCCTGCGATGACCGGCCCTGGCCTACTCTCCTTCGCATTCCGCAGCATGTTCAAGACGCCCGTCTTCGTCAGACTCACACCATCCTTCAGCATCTCCGTGACGAGGCGCACAATCACGCCCGGCGACTCTTGCAAGAACCGTGATGCGGCAGCGTCACCACTCCGAGATGCTACCCAGAAACAGTGCGAATACAACACGTGGAATATCTTCAACAGCTTAGGCTCTCGCGCCAATAGGCTGATCACACTCCAGTGGTCTTGTGCGTCCGCAAGACGCGCCAGCTTGCCGATAATGTCGCACAACACGGCATCGTCCATCTTGGCACCGCGCCGCAGCAAGATCGACGCCATCACGGGGTTGCCGTGGCATGTGGAAAGTGCCCAGTCGAGAGTCGTCGCACCATGCGAGTCGCGCCTGTCAATGTCTACAAAGCCCGAAGAAAGCAGCATCTCGGCTTCCCAACGGCGCCGCTCTCGAGTCAGCTTCAGCAAGAGGGGCCCTGTCCAGTTGCAGCGTGCCGATATGCAAACCGCCTGGTTTGGGTCAGCGCCTGACATGAGGAGGAGTTCGATGAGCCGTTGCTTCGCCGATGCCGTCCTGCCATCCGTTTCTTTGACCCGGGCCAGGAGCACGAGCTCGAGCGGCTTTTGATCGAATATACGGAGTGCTGGGTCGGCCCCCTCGACCAATCCGTCCAGCTCGCCCGTGGCATCCGCTCCAGCCTTCAACAGTGCCAGGGCGGCGGAGAACATGCCGTCCTCGCACGCCATGCTAAGGGCCGTCATACGCCATGTGTCGATCGTCGTGGGCTGGTTCACGTCCACGCCGAACTGCGCCAGCTGATCTATGACCGTTTCTGGCGACGGAGACAACAGGGAGTGAATCAGTGGCGTGTCCCCGTTGTTGTCGGCCTCGTTCACTTCCATCCCTTTCTCGTCGACAAGGTACGTGATCACTTCGGTGAGCCCGGCGGCGGCGGCTTGGTGGAGAGCGTTGATGCCAAACTCAGAAGACACAAGCCGTGCGCCGCGCCGAAGGAGAACCATGGACGTCTTGGCGTCTCCGCTGAGAAGAGATAGAAAGACGGGAGTACGTAGCCGGCAGTCCGGAACCCCATCGATATCGGCACCGTGATCAAGGAGAAACGACACAATGTCAGCATAGCCTTTGGAAGCCGCCAGATACAGGGCCGTAATGAGGAAAGGGCTATATCGATGGCTCTCGGTCATATACATGGTGGCCGGTCTGTTGTAGTCAGCGCCGGCTTGGAGGGTATGCCGTAGCGTGGCGAGGGCCACCCGTGTATCTCTACAGTTGGCAATGGTGTTGAAAACGGCAGAGTATTTTCCCGTTTTCACATCGTTTCTGTAAAGTTTGGGGTTGAAGAACGAATGCCAAGTGCGCGAGCATTGTGCGAATACGGACTGGTCATGGAGCTCGCTGTGATTGAAGATATGCCACGCCACGTCTAGGGAGATCGGCTCTGGATGAGTAGACTTCATAGCGAGTGGCGTCTGTCGTACTTCGCGAGACGACGTGAGCTGCGACAAAGGCACCGCATAGCAAGAACACGAGGCAGTCACGCAGTTATCGTAGGCTCGCCGGTCTCATATCCAATACAAGATGTTAGACTTCGTCCCAAGTGACAGCGCTTTACGTCAAAAACATCTCATACATACACTGCAGAGCCGGAGTTGACCGTCTCACTCAAGAAACGTCTTGAGTTCTGCTATACAGGCGCTAAGGTGCGTCTTTTGGTTATGAAAAAGGCATCTCGTTCATCCTCTAGGTGGGCAGTAGTGTTCTTCGCGAGCGGTCTCTGGTTTTCTGGGCATAAGCTGAAGACAGCTTCAGGATATCAAACTATTTGACAAGATTCTACTGGTTCTGGTTTGGGTGGACGAGGACATCAAGCGCACAAGTGGTGTTCACGTCGGCTTTGAACGCTTAGTCCCCACAAGACCGACGGAGCCCAAAGAAGTTTTCACCATACCTCGTATAGTATCAGTGCCCGGGAATTGTTACATACAGACTTGGGGACTCACCTGGCTTTCTGCTACCCGCACCTCCAGCAGGCTATTACACAATTGCACGCACCATCACATCGCTTGCGCGGGATTCGCGCCGGGCTCTTTCAAACAGCCCGTATCGACGCTTGGGAGCCGGAGGTATGCATCTCAACAACGTGGATCAAGACTGGTTTTGTTCCGAAATGCCTTCCTCTCGTGAAATCCGTATCCAACTCTGACCCCCCTACCCAGAGTTCGAAATCCAGGAGTTGGGCTGGGAAGCTGCTGCCTCTTCATTTTTGCAGGTCGTTTTTGGCAAGTGGTAAACTAATGCCCCTATCCCGGCAAGATCTCACTTGATGGCTGGGCTCCCGTCTTCCACATCCGTTGTGGTCCTTATGGGACGTCAGTTCTGGCCAGACTTTCTAGCCACACACCGCCTGCTTGACTGACGATCCGGCCTACGGAC